AAGATAGATAACACATACCTTCTTGACAAGAGTTCTTGGAGAGTTACAGTGAAGCTTATTACAGCTAAGAATTACGTTGACTGTTTTTATAAGTACTGACCTGAATTTCCCTGGGCTATGTACGTCAGTTTTAATGGAGTTAACAGCATATTCTGGCCTGTATGTTCCACACCAGACCTAGAAACATAAGAAAAAGAAAACAATGTTTTTGTGAACAAATTTTTTTGCAGGAGTAGTGCTGCTTTAGGTAAGCTATGAAACATTTAATGCTATGGGAATAAACTTCAGATTGGGTTGCAGTGCAATAATGTGAATTCTATTAAGAAAAGTATACTGTAGTGCACTTTCAAAGGCACTTGGACACAGGAAATTGTGCCTACTTGACTTATTCCTTGCTAAATTCATAAATTTAGCTAGGATTAATGTTATCTGGCAGGATACTCCCTTTTCTACTCTGCCATGAATACTGTTCAGCTAGAGCAATTCTGTTAGCTCTGATTAAAATGAGAAAAGTCTGCCTACTGTTTCCAACTTACTGTAAAAATGATTTTCATAACCTTCAATCAAGAAGTGTAAAATACCTGTGCAAAGTTCAAGAAGAACAACTGCTTATGGTTCATGTCAAGCCCAGGAAGCAGTTTTTCATTTCCATTCTTTTTAACATAGTTTTCGTAAGCCTGCAATATTAATAGAACAGAAATGTTAATTCCATTTTGATAAAATGTGGAAAACTATGACAAGAAACAACATGGGCTACTTCACATTTTCGGCTGGGAGTGACTTAGGCACCCTGTCGAACTACAGACCACAGGGCAGAGAAAAGAGCAAAGGAAAAAGATCAACAATGGTCTGAGTGACACCATTTAGTTCTCCTCTCAGATCAGATTTACACTGGTACAGATCCACTGAGTCCAGCAAAGCTACTCCTTATTTATCTGGAGATCAGTAAGAGGAGAAACAGGCCCAAAGAGTTCAATTTTCCAAATGGAAGACAGAGATAAGATAGTCGTTATCTTAGTAAGAAAGGCATCCTTGCCAGCCAGCTCAGAAAGTTGTGTGGTATGTATCTTTTTAAAGGAAAGATAAGGAACGTATAGGTGAATGACTGGTGCTTTGTATAAGTAAAACTGTAGAGCTGCTGCCACACCAGTCAGCTTTACAAATCCCATTTTGCTGCTACATCCTATCTCTGCAGTTCCTTTCCCAACACAACTGATTACTTAGAGCAGTGCCTTTCAACCTTTATAAGATTTGGGGCACAGCTCCATAACTATTTTTCAATTTGGCAGAACCCCAGTTAAGAACCACAGTTGTGCTGCATCAGCTTACCTCTGTGGCTCTCAACCAGGGTGCTGCCACCACCAGGTGGAACTGCCCCATACACCTTGTACACAGTAAGATCAGCCTACTGTAGGCAGGAGCACGTGCTCTTGCTGCAGCAATTCCTGGTCCAGCTGCAACAGAGGCACATGGGGCTGTTCCAACTACCATATGTGCCTCTGTTTCTGGGAGGACCATGGAGAGTTGAAACTGCGAAGGGCTGCAGCAGGACTGCACACTGCAGACTGCTCTACGTTTACAAGATTACCTTAATGAAGGCAGGAGTGTGCATTACTACTGCAGCCCTACTGAGTCAGGCTGTGCTCTAGGTGCACAGGGCAGTTCCACCTGCCCATGCCCATGCCCATGTTGCAGAATCCTGGTTGAGAACCATAGAGCCATGCTCAAAACTGTGGGAGGGTCTTTTTGGGGTGGATATGCCTAAGAGTTTCCCTCCTATCATGGGGTGAGGTTGCTGGGGACAGTGTCAAGGATTAGTATTTTATGGTTGGTGGTGGACCATCTCCCCTTACACAGGGGATTTGTCTCTCAGGCTCTATCAGGGCCACAGTGATAGGATCTGACAGACCAGAGCCATTCTAGATACTACATGAAGAAGTTAATGGTTATACACTAAGAACCTTGTCTTGTCTTCTGTAAGTACAGCCCACAAGATGATACTATAAGGATAATGTTTATTTTTTCCACTTATTCTTTCTCTTGGACAATCCTGTCTGTCTTGCCTCTTTCCATAATGGACTCCAATATGATTAGTGACGACTTTGTCAGATGGATGTGTGACCTGGGTCCCCTGAATATGATCCATGTCTCAGCTCAAGAGATCACAAATTATCCAAGACCATTTGTGTAAGAACAAAGGATTTAGTTTCCTGTTTACTTGGCTTCTCCTACCTTGATTCTTTCCATGCTATTACATTTAAACATGTGGGACAACATAGTTCAGTGACAGTGAACATGATCATCTCTGGTTTTTACAAAGCTGACAAATGTGCTGTTCTGTTCCCAGATTGTTTTCTCCATGAATGTTAGATATTTAAATTTATTTACTTTTTTTTTATCTGTTATTGCCACAGAAATTGTGGTGTGTGTTTTAGTTACAAAATCTCTCAGGTCAGAATCTGGTCTGACATACATGGCATTAATGTAGACTTATTCTACAGTCATATGGTAGGGGAGCAGAATACAACTATTCGTACAATTTGCTAATCTAAAGATGATTTTGCAGTAAAAATGGTAAGATTTCTGTCTAAAAAAAGGAAAACTCCCTTAGGATTGTTTTTGTGAAAAATATGTTGTCTCTTCTTCCCCACTTCCCCTCCCCTGGCGGCCATTAAGCTTATTTGTTTATTGGCAAGAATGGCTAACTCTTGCCCTGACTGACTTCGTATCGGGTAGGATTTTTTTTTTTTGTATATTTATGCTGCCATGGTTATACACTAAGAACCTAGAAGCTGGGACTTGGAGTGATGCAGTGCAGCATAAGCACCTCTTTCAGGCTCCCACCTTGTTATTCAGAATTTAAGTTTTCAGTTATTAAAAAAAAGAAGGTAACTTTTGAGTGATATGTGTGTGTGCAGACCCTGAACTTTGAGAGGTATGACCTGGCCCAGTGGGTACTCAGATGCAGAATGTTAATATTTTACATGTCTACATTGTTAATATATTTCAGTACAGCTCAAAGCAAATGGAAATGAGGAAATCACACTGCAAAATCCATAACTTCTCATAAAGTTTCTACCTTCTTTTGGCACTATCAGTGACTGATAATGTTCTTCCATTTTGAAAGTAACAAAGGACCCAAACCTAAAAAGCCTGGTAGAGCCCAGTGGAGTATCTGGGCCCACACCATGGGTAAACAGGCTCCAGCAACCCAGTCGCACTTAAGAAACTCTTCGTAGGAAGCCTATGGAGTCCGGAAGAACCCAAGGCTGCATTTGAGCTCCATAATGAGAGGACTGACCCCAGTACATGTGTGTAGTCACTTGCTGAACTTCTGGGCAATCTACTGCAAATGGCATCTCCTGCGCGTGGAGCCTGGAGCAGTACCACCAGTCCCTTTTAGCTCCCCTCTCAACCTGTTTGGTCACATGTTACCACACAGAGTATTGCTGCTGAAAAGAAACACCCAGAAGCAGATAACACCTCAATATGATCACTTCAGTTAGGTTAAGTCCAAATCTGACAATGATTCATTAAATATTTTCATTTGACAAATCTTCTATTCACAATGAGCAATCATAAAAAAGAGAGAGAGAGTGAGCTGTAAGAGACAACAGTAAGAGATAGAGAGTTGTAAGGGACACAGCCATTTGCAGTAGATTGCCCAGAACACACCGAATGGATCCAGGCCATGCCATGACAAGAAATGCAAAACCTGCCAACACATCTCCACCACCCCCACAATAACTACACCCCACAACAGAACCATCACCATTTCTGGATCTTATACCTGCACCTCTGGAAATGTAATATATCTCATCCAATGCACCAACTGCCCTGATGGAAAATATGTAGGAGAGACCAAACAACAACTATGCACCAGAACGAATGCACAATGGAAATCTATCAAAGACAGGAATACCCAATTACTGATGGGGGCACATTTCTCACAAGAAAACCACTCTCTCTCCAATCTCTCAGTCCTGATCCTAAAAGGGAACTTACAAAGCACTTCTCAGAGATGAGCCTATGAACTTCACTTCACTACTCTACTGGATACAAAAAATCATGGACTAAATACAGACATTGGCTTTATGACACATAACCTGCCTGACATCTGACTCCCCAGGTACCTCTCTACTATTTACCTGCTACATTCATTCTCCTCCTCCCCCCACCCAAGCCTGTCTCACACCTACTGACTCCTCAATTTACATCCTCGCTGACTGCCTATCTTGCATGCAACCCAGCCTCTGGCTTCTTTACTATTCATTCCATCCGGGGAGAGCACACGCCGACTGCAGAAACTTCTTGAGCCTGATGAAGGGTTTTTAAACCCGAAAGCTTGTTAGAGTTTTTTTTCCCAACTATTTCAGTTGGTCTAATAAAAGATATCAGATTTACCCAAAGAACCTTGTCTGTTCTGTAAAGTGTGGTTCTTACTTGCATTTTGTTCCCCGTCAAAAACTGAAAATGAATCTTTTTCAACTGTAACAGTCTCAACTGAGAAGACTAAGAGAAAATGGCTGTTTCTCACCTTATATGCTTGTCTAACACCACCATTATCAGCAATATTTTCTCCCAGAGTATTGATTCCACTCAGCTACAAAAAAAAAAACAAATGCAAAAGTTATGGTTTTCTCGCACAAAGTATTTCTTCCTCAGATTCACAATATTAGCTTTTTCTCAATTTTTCCTGATTATTCACTCACTGGAGTCTGGAGGTCGCACATCCCTAAGTAGTGATAAGTCACTGGCAAAAGCCCCCTGAACTTGAATGTTTAATAAAAGATTGTGTAACCTTATCTAAATTTTCTCTGCCTCCCTTATTTCAGAACCCAAACAAATCCTCCTCCATCCCTAACTGCCCCTCTCCATGCTTCTGGCTTTCTCTTTCTTCCTAGTCTTCTTCTTTGTGTTTGTGGCTCTCAGATTCTTACGAGTCTCTAACCAATCCCTGTACTTCTATCACAATTCCAGTTGCAGGTCTGCCAGTTGTAACCATGGATAAAGCACATCAGTTTCTGTAGCCAATGGCACTCAAGGGAATTATATTATTGGCATCGTATTCAGCTGTCTTGACTCTCCAGCCCCAATAAGCTGGTACACATTTACAACCAGGTTAAAGGTGGCCTTTGGTGTGAGTCTGGACTAAGGCTCACATTCACAACTCTGGAGACCTCAAATGTCCTAAGCACTGTACCCCACCTATGTTAATAAATAATGCTCAAATCCAATTTTGAGGCCACATACTCAGATGGTGTAAATTAGCATAGTAAGAGAGAAAACAATGGAGCTATGCCAATGAAGACTCTATCCTTTTATTTTTACTGAATAGTTTCTGCCAGTCCTCATTCCAAGAACGCACATCATCTGAAGCTGTAGATTCAGTTCCTTTGGTAGATAAATATCAGAAGAGTAACAACTATTTTGCAATACAATTTCCCAAATTGATTTTAAATGTATTTTGGTGCCCTTGTCAGGGACTTTGTCCCTTCTGTATTCTGTGTGGCAACAAACACATTGTCAGTTTTCAACAGACCATAACAGCCAAGGATATAACCCCCGGGAGCAACTCCATTCATCACATGCAGCAGGAGGTTCAAACCCACTGAAATTCTGCCTTTTGTACAAATAGCTTATAGCACAGCTGAACACTGCATGCAGTTTTCTAAAGTCCAAAATAAATATGACAGTTGTTTTAAGGAGTTCAGTGGAATTGGGTGCTATTATAGTAAACTCCTTTCACTTAGTTATTGTGCAACAGTGATTCAGGGGCTGATACTCACTTGCTGTGTGACCTGTTTTGTGAAAGAAACAGGAACTCAAACTAAACAGTGCAGTGTAAGTTTTTATATGCTGCCCATGGAGAACATACAAAAAAAACCTTGAAGCCTCAGCTAAAAGAGCACTGTGACTTGTATTGTGAAGTATGGGAAATACAAGCTTGGAACTGCAAAGACAGTTAAAGTCACCTTTAGCTCTTGTGCTATGTCCCCATAATCTCTATGGTTTTTACACCCTTCATTTCTTTGCTCCAATTGGCTGTTAAATGGCTTTATTTCCCACTGTAGTTTAGTTTAATTTTGGGGCCAGTAAAAACACACAAAATGGTTCTAGCAAACAGATTCATAGAGCTGTTCAACCTGAGTGTGGAAGAGTTCACAACTCTGCCCAGAACCTAAGAAATTCTGATTAAAGGATTAAATGAGACTAGCAGTAAAAGGGAAAGGGTTCCAATACAGGTCTTAATTTGTAGGAGTGATAGAAATACCCAGACCTAACTGCGTACCATTCTCTTTTAAACAAAAGTTTTGCAGGTTGGGTTCGATATAAGCTGAGCTAATATTCCATAAAACAAAAGTAATACAGGTAATCACCTGCTTTTGTGAGTTAATATTATACTGAATTTACACAAACAGGACAAAGACCTGATCCTGCAAAGTATGTACTTATGAAGCTAGCTTTTTTCAGGACACAGATGCCGTGGTGAGGGGCATATATAATACCATGGGTACAGCCTCACATGGCTTGATCATGTCCTTGCTATCTGATGACCTGCTCCTCTCTGTACTGTTGCCAGTTCTCTCCAGACCCTTTGGAAGCCACTCTCTCTGGTCTGGGGTGTGTGCTGGCAAATAGAAAGAGACCATGAGCCAGGGAAAGAAGTAGATAGGATGATTTAAGACTGGTATGTTCATCATCCTCATTTACAGCTCCATGGAAAAGAAACTAAAATCTAGGAGCTGATCTTTCCTGTTCCATCAGAGAATTGAAGAGGGCTCTTCAAGGACCAAAGACACTGCAGATGCATAGAACTGGGGGAGGTCACACCATGATCTTTTATAAAAGAAGTGAATCCTGCCCCCTGCCAGGACAGATAATTTGGAGAATTTTTATAAGAGTTTCCTTTCACCAGTTTTTCTTTGGGAAGGAATGATGTTGGCCTGAAACTACAATCACACTGTTTATGTGTATTAGTTTGCAAGATCAGGCCCTGCATGTTAATTATTTTAAATGACATGGGTTACGTCAACGGTTTTGAAACTGGGGTATGCATACCTTTTGGAGTATATCTTGCTTTACCAAAGGGTATGTGCCTACATTTTAATAATGATGGTGGAGCTTCTGATTGGTCAAGGTGTAGTGAGTTATGATGCTGTTGTGTATTGATGTCAGTGAACATACAAAGCCACATTGAGTGTAGGGGGTATGAGCAGTGATGTTTTGCAAATAAAGGAGTACACAGCCAAAAAGTCTGAAAACCATTGGGTTAGGCAGAAACTATGAATCACTTACATGTTGTCCACCTGCTAGATCCCATGAAAAGTTTCCATACTGGTACACCATACACTGGGACTGTTGCTTAAAATTCTGTGCTGATTCTTGAGTCCACCAGTCTATGAGGTCCCCATTTGCATTAAAATTTCTACCTGTAATGATGCATTTTTGAAATTATACATGCAAGAAAGAAATTGTTGTAGTAAAGAAGGATAACTTACATTCTCGGTTAGAAGAAAACATATTGAAGTGCAAACACTCATGTGATTGAATATTCCTATAATGAAGCAATCACATAAATACTGCCCTTTTCTTTTGTCAAAAAGTCTGTATTTTAGTCAGGAAAGAATGATCATTGTTAACTATAACATAAGGCACTCTCTGTACTACCATGTGTCTTTGGGTGTCCCATGGGAAAAGTAAGGGACCTGCAACTATATCTAAAGTCCTTGTAGTGGGAGAACATTTGTGCTGCAAAACTGTTAGAACCCTGAGGCTACGGTACCATCTGTGGTGTACTTTGATTATTGCTCCTGGGAATCATTGCAGAGAATGCCAACGCCAAGCTTGACCAAACAGGATTTGGACTTGCAAATGGAAACTGCACCTTCATTTTATCTCCTCTTTGGAATGATTAAGCTAAATAGTATATGCAAAAAGTAATGGGATGTCTATAAAAAAGACTTAAGCATTAGAAGCTCTTACCGTTGTCATCAAAACCATGGGTGATTTCATGACCAATGACCATGCCAATGCCACCATAATTCAAGGATTTGGGCTGGGATGCACTGAAGAAAGGTGGCTGCAAAATGCCAGCAGGGAAGACTGCAAAGAAAGATAATACTCCATGTACACAATGTTAGTACATAAAACATTTTATGTGGGATCACTTTCAAGAATTGAACTTTTATTATTATGGAATCATTTATATGGACTTCAGGGAGGAAGTCAAATGTTTTTCTCTAGCCTCAAATATAGCGGCTCTGGTAAATAAATGTGTATATGGAAATGACTGAGGGGAAATGAAGCTAAAAGAGCAAAATAAAAAAATGGAGCAGGAGGGGTGGGGGCAAAAGGGAACATCCCTTCAAACTTTTGTTCACAGGGTCCTAATTGGACTTTACCAGGGATCTCTGCTATTATTTTGCAGCACACAGAAACAATTATATTTAACCATTTAATTGCATTTAGCACCTTCAGACCTCAACATATCTGGTGAGATAGGGTACTCTAACAGGAGAATAATTGAGCTGTATGACAAGTCAAATCAAGAGTCATTGTCAGTGATAAGAATATACTCTCCCACTGAAAATATAAGTAATACTCATTAGTGATTAGGTCATATTTGGCAATGTAGGAATTGGGCTACAGATTTCCTTTCACCTGGTTCCATGCTTGGTCCTCTAGATCATTAACAAGAGAATGGGCACAAACACCCACATTGCAACTGTGACATTTTCCTTTGAGAATGAAGAATTATATATATTCAACTTTCCCCCACAAATTCTGCTCAATTTTGTATTTCATGTAGGTCTTGTCTTGTATTATGCACATTTTAATAATATCCCAGAATAAGAGTATTAATTCCTGTCATGAATTCATGTCTCTAGTGAGCATGAGCCATAATTTTCTCATATCACTGCACCTTTAATGTAAAGAGAATGTCCAAATGCTAATTAATGTCCATGTTAATTATTTTCAGGAGCTATTGAGAGTAATGACAAAAATGTACTATCACTACAGATACTTCCCACATCAGATGAATATACTCCTATGGGGAGGAGGCCACTGCTATTGCTCAGATCTACACATAGATGGCTTGAGAATTGCACTAGTAATTTTTTTTTTTTTACTTATCCAAATCCAGGACTACAACTGAGATCTCCTGAGTTGCAGGCTGCCCTGTGTATAAACCACAAGACTATCCTGCCTTTCTAAAACAGCATTTTTATACTGGGACTAGGCAGGAGAAATTGAGCACAAAGCTCTCTGCAGGTTTAGCTGGTGAGCTCATGCTCCCTGCCAGATTCCTGCTCAGCTCAGGATACTGCTGCCCTCAGGGCCTTCACAGTTCAGTTTATTTAACATTCTGCCACCACGTCCACCCACATACTAAACTGTATTCATTGATTTGTTTTTTTAATCTTCCCCTTCCTAAGAGAGTAATTGATTCCATGACTGCTATCACATAACAAAAGTCCATACCTAAGTACTCTGCTTCCTAGTACAGGAATGAGGTCTGATTAGAGTATATGCAGCTGTTTATGGGCATAAAGAAGATGTGTATATGCTTCAGTGGTGTGCTGTGCAGAGATGCCTGCCTAGGCTAGCTTGGATACTAAAAGCAGTATGACTGTTTAAACTTCCCCCTTTGCTCAGTTAAATTAGCTCTACTACTCTAATAAGCCTGAGCAGAGGGCCATGCTATTGCAGCTATATTACTTCTATATCCTGAATTTGCTCATTCAGAGCTAGTTTGGATACTCCTGCATGATGGTGCATTTTGCCAGGTAGATGTCTCCTAAGAGGTGGACTCTGCTGAGCTGTTTGCATGCAAGATGGGAGAAGGTAGCAGGTATTGCTTCACATGCTATGCAGCCCTGCAGAAGGGCAGACCGCAGCTATAGTTCCTGTATTCGGGGACTCACAGGAATGGCTTTGTCCAGACATTTCTATGATGCAAGATATTCCCTAAAAGGAATGGACATGGGTTTACCCTCTTGTGCCAGAAGAGAAGTCTGGGCATGTAAGAGCTTCTATGGAGCCCCACCTGAAGACTTGTAGTCTGGCCCAGGATTCCCTCTGCAAATGTGGCAAATTAGGGTGAATTCTCTTGGAGGCAGAGTGCCTCCTATGGTCCTGATGTGGTAGTGCAGATCAACAAGGAGCAATGATCTCAAATTGTAGCAAGGAACATTTAGGTTAGATACTACCAAAAACTCTCACAAGGAGGGTATTAAAGCACTGAAACTGGCTACGAAGAGAAGTTGTGGAATCTGTATACTTGGAGGATTTTAAGACCTGGATAGACAAAGCCTTTTCTGGGATAATCTAGGTATAGATAGTCATGATTTGAGCAGGGGGTTGGTCGGGTTGACCTCCTGAGGTCTCTTCCAACCCTAATTTTCTATGATTCTAACATACTGTGGTGCAGAGCTGTATGGAAGTGTTAGTTGTTACTAATCTACTTCAAACCTCAACTTTAAAGATCATGCTGCTTTAATTATCCTGTGACATGCCATTGCTGAAGGATGAGGTAAGAATTTATGGCTCATATTAACCTCCAGTCATCAGCTTCAACCTTCCAAATTATGATTCCTGTTCCACTCATTACTTAGCAAAGCTATTTTAAACAAAGCTTTGTGAGCAGATTTTTATCCTGAATGTTGAAATGGACTTTCAAAAGGTTTGTCTGGCCTCATCACCCTTACAAAGCAGAGACCTTATCCTGCACTCCTTACTCGGGCACAATTGTACTGGTCAGTGAAGTCAATCAGCTTCTGTCTGAATTAGGTACACCCTATCGTTACCTCATATTGCTCAGTGGTTACAATACTGTTTTGAGGAGCTCTCACACTCATTGCTACCTAATCATGATGTGGTAGTTTTGCATTCCTGATGTTTGGGTGATCATTTACCTTGGTGTTAATCTGTGTACATTTAAACTTCATCCCTGCATATTTTATTTACTAATGAATCTAAATGGAACTCACTCAGAACAATGCAAAACTGCAAATCCCATATGATTTTGATGCCAGAAATGGCTTAGATTCACTGGGCAAGTTTGAAAGCTTCAGTGAGCATCAAACAAGTTTTGAGTGTGGGGTGAAATGTAAAAACAGCCAAGTTCTGTGTGCTTTTGAGCTCTCATGCAAACTGGTCAAATGAAGATGGGCCTTCACTCAGCTGTAGGGCAGTAGGAGCCTTCCTTCACTTCCCATCATGCTTGCCTCCTCTGTGCTAGAGCTAACAACATTAAAACTATTGCCTTCTAGTGCTTATGACAGCAATTCTCATAAAAAGATGGGGAATGGTGTGGAAACTGGGATTACATTTACAGGGTTATAGTCAAAGTATTATCTGTTTTAATCAAAACTCAAGCTCTGGAAGAGCAAGGGGCTGCTTAAAGACTATCTAAAAAGGTCTAACTTCTTAGTGGGAAGAAGAAATTTCTTTTTAAATAATCTGATCAATTTAGAAACATGCTTGGAAAAAATGACTACAATTCCAGTTCTCTTTCATTCTAAGTCTGATCCTGTACTTTCAAAATCAATGGAAAAAGAAACAGGGCATATATGATCAAGGACACTCAATTAAGTTTTATTTTACTTTGGACAGAAGATACCTGGCAGACCACTTTTCACCCTGATTGAATATTTAGTTTGGAAAACAGAAGTAGGATTATAAAAGAAGGTGTAAGGGTTTTTTTTCCCAATGGTCAGTTATCCCTGGCAATGAAAACCATAGTATGTCACTAACACATTTTCCATAAAAAGTTTTATCCATAAACAACTTATTTCTTTGTTGTTCATGGACTGCAGGATTAGTTCCATTTCTTTTCCAAACATGGTATAGATTTGTTTTCAGGTAATATTAAGAATTATACATGGACTATGGTATGTCCAGGAGAGATCGGGAAAAACAGAGTCTGTCTGGGACTGTTCTTTCTATCTTGAAATTCCATAAGAAGCAAGAGATTGAATGGTGTCACTGAGATGGAAAGGTAGAAATCAGGCTTGAATCAAAATACATATGGGGGTCCAGATTCTCTGCTGTACTCAGATAGACACAGCAGTATGGAAGAGGGTTTCTTAGGTAAGCAGCTATGATTCCCTAATTCTTTGTTCAAGTCCAGCCACAGCGCCATCAGGACCAAAGGTAGAGCAGGATGGAACTGTTCTAACTTGTGTCAGTTAGCTCTAGTTGGAGGGCTACTTCCAGGCCTTTTCCTGACTGGTTACTCCTGACATGTCTCCATGCAACAGAGGCATATGTTTGGAAAAAAGATATACATTTAATCTCTGCTTCTACTGGAACTCCTCAGCCAGACAGAATTCCCAGCAGAAGCTTTGCAAGTTTCTTATATAATATAAAAGGAAGCAGAATGTTCTGTCCCAAGCTCCTCCATTTAAGAAGTAAAAAAATGCATAGCACCTTGGAGCATGGCTTCTGGCTGGGGCCCGGTGACTTATACCTCTGTCATGAATGCCTGAGTGACTGAGAGAAAATCCCTTTAGTCCCCTGTGCTTCCATTTCTCCAGTTATAAAACAAGTATAAAAATATATCTTTGAGAGGCGAAGTTAGAGACATAGCTGGATAAAGAATCTGTTGGCTGTCTGTGTACTGTGAATGGAACCCATAGTACATCACCTACTGAATCTACCTTGCAGGGATATTGCAGGCCTAAAGCAATATCTTTAAAGTGCTTTATGATCCTAGGATGAAAGAGCCTGCATTGGTATTAATCATGCTGTTGTTATAAGGAGGACGGAAACCTCACACATTTTCTGAATTACTACCATGTTCTAATCTTCAGATCTAACATTTCCAAATTCTTAAAAATATGATTCCTCACTTATTCCCAAATTATTTGTAACCATGGATAGTCTTGCATAGGCTGACCCTATACCCCAAAGCAAGGGTACTTGAGATGGCCCTAGGGGGTACAGGCGGGTGGGTGAGGATGGAGCACTGCTGCTGCCACACAACATCCCATGCTGTGGCACAGGTGCCACCTGCCCAGCCGGATGCAGGGTGGGGAGGGGCAGGGGAAGGTTGCACACATTCGTGCATGCGCTACCCCACCATACTTGGCATCTGGCCACGTGTCATCCCCGTCCCCACCCCCCACAGCGTCCGAGGGTACGCTGCTCTGCGTCCAGCTGCTGGGGGTACAATGATCTAAAAAGTTTGAAAACCCCTGCCCTAAAGGATTGCTGAAGTTATTTGCTTTTTTCCCCTTTCCTGCTGGTATTTTTTTCTTAGCCTTATCTGCCTGATTGACCTTTTATTTTTTCCAATACAAGGGAAACTAGTATAAATAGAAATTAAACATTGGAGAGAACACGAGCTTCAAGTCACTTGACAGATGACAAGTTTCACTGGAATGGGTTCAAAGGTCTCACATTCAACAAGATATTACAGAGCCACACTTAAGAAAATGCATTGGGTAGTAAAGTTTGAGATAAACAATGTTGAATTGTTCCAGCCACACTGAAAGTACTGAATCCCCAGCCTTGGGACAGGCTATCTGAAGGGCCCATACTGAAACCAGGACTCCCAGATATGAATCTCTCCCAGAGCTGGGGATCTTGAAAGCCGGTGGAAGAAGGGAAACTGTAAAATGAGGATAGGTTAACTCAGAAAAGTAAAATGAAGTATGTTGCAGCATTAATTGGGACCATATTTTATTACCCTAACAAAAAGGTTCCTCCCACAGCTGCACCCTAAGTCTTCTTCTCTTAAGCAAGGATTCTCCCTTGTTTTACCATACTGGGGCCTTCTGCAGTCTTCAGGCTACTGGACATGCTTCAGCTTTAAGTTTAAAAAATATAACCATGTCATAAAGGAATTTAATAAACCTTACCTATCTGATTTCTGCTTGCAGAATAAAAGGCATTGACTACAGCAGCTCCACTTATCCACCTAAAGAACATACAGAAGAAATCTAGTTAGAAAAAGTTTTTCACAAGATTAACTGAACACTGGAACAGAATTAGAGAGAGAACCTCCTCTTCACTATGTATAACCAGTTAGAGATGATATATTTCCTTTTACTGACACTAACATTTCACAGGCAAAATTTCCAACTCGCAAAAAGCCTTCATAAATTTAGATTGTATACTATAAAATAATGACAGATAGCACAGTAGATTATTATGTTTCCTCAATGTTTGGGATTCATAAAACTTTTATTTATTGCATGACATCAGTATTTTCAGAATCTGCTATTAAAAATAACTGCATGAAGCTGAAGATAGAACTTGATTCTATGGTCATTACCTGAACAAACCTAATCAAACCAACAAGAACTTTCTTAAGTCAGTCAACAGCACTGAGTTCCATTTACTGTTCTTCAAAGGTACTAGTTATTATAAATCCTGAGAACTCGCTCATCATCAGGAGTGAAAGTTGTTCCACATATTTTATTTATAAGCATCTCAGCACCAGTAATCCCCATCATATCACAAATATTAATGAAGTATGAGTGGAATGGAGGAAATTATTATGACCTCCTTTTTCCAGAAATGGAGACGCAGACACAAGGATACATCAGCTGTCTGCAGCAGAGCCAAGAATTCTTGAATTCTGCAAGCCAATATTTTCTCCCCTGGCAGAGGTTAGGGTGTTCAGCACATTTACAGGGCCATGCCCATTGCACAGGAAATACCTGAAACATCTTTGCCTTCCTTATAGGTGTACATTTCCTGCTGCCTTTCACTGGTAGTCAGTTTAGGAAGCTTTCCTAGTGACCCCTTCAGTAAGGATGTTTCTACATTATGACTAGTGAATGCAATCAAAAAAGACTGGAAAAGCTGCCAGTAAGAGTGATACAATGAACAGTCCTGAAAAATGAAGAGGCTTAGATTAAATGATCCAAATAGTAATTTCTGGCCTTTTGCTTTATGAACAAAATTCACTTCTACCAGCCTGTTTAACCAGCCAAAGGAGTAACAGGGATTTGGGAAATGCAGCCAAATGCTTTTCTAAATAAGTGCCTGAGCCAGTTTTCAAAAGGTGCAATAAAACTTGCAGTATTGAGACCTAAGGATGAAATTCACACTTGCAAAGGGTGGAAAAAATCTTACACACCAATTAAGTCCTACAAAACCTCAAGATAGTATTTAAGGAGGTCTCAAGCAGTCCTGTCCACACAGGGTTTATTTCACTGTAAAAGATTTATTCAGAGAAGTACCTTGGAGATACCTTTATTCTAATACTTTCAGATGACGATAAAGCAGCCATAATGGACATTTTGGCAGGCTATGCCTAAGAATTCGCTGCAGTCAGATTAGCAGAAAGAGTGTGTCTACCATTAATTTGGGATTTATGCTACATGAGGTCGAAGTCATAAAGATGCCTGAAAACTTTGTGTTTTGAATCACTGGGAAAATTTAATATACAGAACCATCACAGAAGCAAAATATATTCAGGGTGCATTTACATGAGACATCTACTGTGCAGTAGACTAGCTGAACAGTAAATGTCGCACATCTGTCCATGTCTCATTATGCTACTTATGGAGTATAATTTTACAGACAAGGAGCTTAAGAAACCACGGTCTGGTTTGACATGAGAAAACATCAGCCACTAAGTCACAATCTTTGAATCAACTCAACAGAATGTATGTTCTTTCCATCCTGGTATGCATCAGCCTTGAACATTTTCTCAAGAGCTGGACATAGAAAAAGCTTTATAATTTCATTTTTTCAAGCTTTCAATTTCAGGATATCCTAGTGAAAGAAGAGCTGCACTCAGTTCAGAGAATCGAAGTGGGGAATGAGGCACTGTATTGTAAGAGCAGAGTTTCAATAACACTACATAAGGCCAGTGGGTAACAAAGCAGTGTAAAAAAGGATTGCCTAGGGAGATGTGCAGAAGGTTAGCAGCTAGGTTAATGCATTCAAATTTTCAACTGGACAGAAGAAAAACCTTGATCAATTGTTTCAGGTCTAAAACAGTAAGATGCTATGTCATTAAATTAAGTTACCTAAATAAATGTCAGAGGAACCTTTTAGGCTTAAAGCAGGCTAGTTAGGGCTATTCTTCTACACACTAGTTTAGCATCCTTATACTAAAATGCTTCTCTAACTCGACATATGTAATCAATTTTATCAACTTCTTATTTTACACAATCTATGTAATAGACAGATCTTGCAGATCTCCCTCTGGCTGCATTGTTCCTCTCACCAGATTTGTATTTCAAGGATAAACGTGTCTGAAGTGAATTAAATTTCTTCAGTCTCTCTAGTCAGCAATTCGTTGTTATTTTCACCTCTACACTTTACAAGATTAAGCCCCCAAAGAACCCAATAATATACATTCTCAATTGTTCTTGTTTTTTCATTGTATACTATGTAAATAAGTAATAATCCTTCCTATCCTGATGAACACTCATGCACCTTTTCCTTCTTGAATTTTTATCAACCTTAAAAAACCAGTCATGAAAAGACACAGGAGGAACACCTGTCTCCAAGAATTTCTGCCCTGACTTAGAGTTCAATCCCACATGTGGCTGAATGTGAAAAGTCAGAATGATATTATTCTGCTTCCAGTGTTTAATCAACCGGTGTGCAGAAAATCCTACTCATGTAAAACCTGCCAACACATCCCCAACACTCCCACAATAACTACACCCCACAACAGAATGATCATTTCTGGATCTTACACCTGCACCTCCAGAAATGCAATATATCTCATCCAATGCACTAAATGTCCTGATGTAGGAGAAACCAAACAACAACTACATAACAGAATGAACGGACACTGAAAATCTATCACAGACAAAAATACCCAATTACCTATGGCTGCACACTTCTCACAAGACAACCACTCTCTCTCCAATCTCACAGTTCTAATCCTCAAAGGGAATTTACAAAAAACCCTTCATAGATGAGCCTATGAACTTCATTTCATAAATCTACTGGCTATAAAAAATAATGGACTAAATATAGACATTGGATTTATGGCACATTATAACCTTCCTGACATCTGATAACCTTAGATAACCCCTCTACATTTTACCAGCTACATTCTATAAACAGATCAACCTTCCACACCCCCACCTCCACACACACCTACCTGTCCCACACCTTTTGTCTCCCATCACCTCTGATCTTCACTGCCATTTTCACAGACCTGCATTTTACATATTGGCTTCTATTCCACCCAGAAGAACACAGAACACCAGCAGATTCTCCTTGTGTTTGTGCCCAAAAGCTTGCAAAGAACATTTTTTCTAACTATTTAGTTGGTTTAACAAAAAATATCACATTTACCCAAGGAACCTTGTCTGCCTGTGTCCTTATACCAACACCACTGCAATCACCTCAAAAATCCTACTCTCACACTTGGGAGAAATATACACTGTGCTCAACAGTGGTAGCAATTTTTTACAGCTACTAGAGAACTGGAGAGATGACGATAGTAGGTACAAACTGGCAACCTGTTGTTGCTCACTTGAAACATGAAGTGGTTGAAAAAATAGAAATTTCAAATACATACTCTTCCTTGTCCACAATTTCTTTGAGCTTCTTCAGACGTTTCTTTTGGTTAAATAACAAATTTTGAATGATGTTCTCAAAGTACTGATCTTCTTGGTAGTTCAGCTAAAAAGAGAGAATGTAATTAGCTATATTTAATTGCTACAGAAAGAAGGAATGGGGTTTGAAAGCCATAGGCTAAGCCTGGTTTGCAGTTTTCTGTCACAACACTCAGTTGGTATAATGGCTAGATCAAAATAAAACATTACTGCATGGCCTGCTGCAGATTTAAGACCTGATTCTGCCCTACTTGAAACTGAGCTGTATCTTACTTTTGGAATTACCTTAACTGAAATGAGCCCCTCTGGTAAGGTTTTATCTCATATGAGGAAGCATGTCAGAATCTGGTCTCTTGATTATTTTGAGAAGATATTTTAAATGGTGCTATAACTCTATGTGCTTTCTCGCATCAAAAGTATTAATTCCAATAGAATAGCACTTTCTAACTGATATCTCAACATGTTTTATATATGTTACTTCTGCAATTTATCTGTGAGGTGGAAGGGTATTTTTGTCCAGATTTTGCTATTGAAAAAATAGTGATATATTTTAGGTTTGGCGACTTACACAAGTCTGATATAAATGGACAAAACTTATTTTGGTTCCATAGAGCTAAGACACAGAGTCAGTGTTAAAATATAAACTATGGCAGATTAGGAAGTATCAGACCTTGCTGCTACTGTTGAGCACAGAAAACTATGTTGTTCCAGTTTCATGCTGCGTGACACTATTGGCATCTGCATATATGCACCATCTTTCTGGCATACCTTGACTGCTGCTGCAGGCAAATTACACCCAAGCCTCCACTGGAACATCTGTGTTACGCTATATATTATAGGGTATCAGACAACTCCCCACACACTCCTTCCTCCTTTGCACAAGAACTCAGGATCTAGGTAGCTCAGGTAGAAGTGGAGCCTTACTCCTTTCCATGACTTTGCATAGACAAAGGCCTGAGGCAGGGTACTGTGATACCTCCAAACCTTGCCTATGTCTACACCAACCACACACATAACCATAACCATAGTACAATAAAATATATCATTGAAAATTAGGTTTAGAAGAGACCTCAGGAGGTCATCTAGTCCAACCACCTGCTCAAAGTAGGACCATCTCCAACTGTATCATCCCAGCCAAGGCTTTGTCTAGCCAGGTCTTAAAAACTTCAGAAGATGGAGATTCAACAACCTCTCTGGGTAACCTGTTCCAGTGTTTTACTATCCTCCTAGTGAGAAAGTTATCACCCACAAGAATTCTTGCCTTTTGCATAGACAGGTATTTTAAGCCACAATCTACCTCTTAGGAACTGCTTTTAATCATTGTTTACAGCATCTTTAAGGACACTTACCTCTTGATATTCACTATTCAGCTTATTATCATCTGTCAGGATTTCATCTGGGTAGCCAATCTTTTCTCTAATTGCTTTAGCCTAAATGAAAAGATAATATTTAGATTGGGTCTTCATTACATGAAAATCCAAATCCAGCTATACTTTAGATGATTGGACACTGGGCAACATAACAGATGTTTACAGGTTCTTTTGTAGAAACAGTTGTGGAAGAGCCAGGAATTTGGTAGGTTGCATAGGCTTAAGGTTATATGTAATAAGTCTTCTATAGCATAGAGTATTCTGGGCCAGACTCATTACACTGTTGAACTGCTGATATATAACATAACTGATCAGTCCCTATGTATTTGGATGTACATATGATAAATGGAATTTTGTAGCCTATTACAATACAAGAAAACCTCCTCTAACCGCACACCTTTCGGTTGTCACCTGCCATCCCACACTCAAACCAGTAAGAAAGACCATCAAACAATTGAAGCTTATACTCAAGAAGAACCAAACCTTGAGAAAAATATTCCTAGACTCCTTCCCCTCCACTCCAGCCCCACCTCATGCTTGGTCTTCAAATAGCTCCCAATCTTGCCCAAATCATCAGAAACATACTCCCCTCTGATCAAATCTTTCCTCAGCAATAAATGTGAGATCTGTCATTTCATCTAAACTGTCATCAGGAAACCATGAGAACCCACAAGTCATGCATGTCTAACTCAGAATGTGGTATATCTTATCCAGCACACCAAATGTCCTCATGATAACTATGTGGGTAAAAACAGATAACAACTATGCACCAGAATGAATGGTGGCACAGACAGATAAAGGACAGAGACACTAAAACGCAGTTAGGAAAACAATTTTCATGGAATAATCACTCTGTTTGATCTCGCTGCTTGCAGATGTTAACCCCCCCCCCAAAAACGGTACTTTATTTTAAACTCGGCATGCTCCCACATCTGTATAGACCAGCACATGCCAAGCACATGCTCAGTAGAGGCAGTGAATCAGCTGGACCTGGCTCGCCCAACGTCTGTATAGATTGAGCACTTCAGTGGGGCTTTTTGGCACTTTTATCTAATAGCTGATTGAATCAGATTTAGTTTAAAGTGCCAAAAAGCTCTGCTTAAGAGCCTGATCTACACAGATGCTGTGGAGCCAGCTTGAAGTAATGCACTGCTTCTTTCAGTAAAGTGTGGGGGGGAGGGGGGTGTTAATGTCTGCAAGCAGCCACACTTCTCATGCACAAGGGGAATTTAGAACATACCTTCAAAAAGAGTAGACTGGGAACAAAAATTCATTAGCTTATTGTATGCTAAAAAACAAAGACTTATAATGGACTGTGAAATTATTGTCCATGTTAATTGCTAAATTCTGCTCTTCACAGGTGAAAACAACCCTTCTAAACAATTTTTGCTCTCCACTCATCAGGTTTTTGCTATATATCTCTTGTCTGTTGGCTACCTGATAACTTCTCTTATATCCGGTTTTTATTTATATATACTAGCCAATTGCCTGTCAAAATGATGGGCCGGGGCCTGCTCTCCCCTTCCCTCCTGCTGCTTGGGGGTCTGGGCCTGTTTTCCCCCCTCCCTGCTGCAGTGGTGTGGGGAGGGGAGAAGTGGGCCTGCACCTGATGTGGGGGAGGACCAGGCCCAAGGATGGGGAGAAGTCAGACCGCCACAGCGGGGGGGGCGGGGGGGACGGGAGCAGCAGGCCTAGACCAACCTAGGGGTGGGGTTGGCTTGGGGCTGACATGGCGGAGGAAAGGTGGGGGAGGAGTGGGCCTGGGCCTGAGGGGGGCAGAAGGCCAACTCTCCCCCTCCCTCGGGCGCGGTTGTGTCGGACCGTGTTGGACCAGGCCTGCTGCTCCCCCCACCACCGCATTGGGCCCACTCCCCACCCCCCCACATCAGGCCTGGGCTCACTCCTCCCCTTCCCCTACTGCCACTGCTGCCGCCTTGGTCACTCCTCCCCACACCCCGTTGAGCCTACCCCTCCCCATAATGCCACTGAGTCAGCTCTGCAGGCAGTGAAGACAAAAGGAGAAAGGGGAGGGCCAAGGCCAGCACTGGTGGCCTTGCCCCAGCCCTGTGGTGTCCCAACCTCACTGCCCCCCACACTGCTGCCACCGTCACCTCCAAGGAGCAGGGGGGTGGGGGACAAGGCCAACTCCAGTAGTCTCAGCACCCTTACTCCCGGTCCATCATCGCCACTTGCAGGGAGCAGGGTGAGGGGGAGGCTGGGGCCAGCACCGCTGGCTTCATTCCCCAACCCACTCAGTCAGCTCCATTGCCATCGCCCCCGCTCTGTCCCCTGTGTCCTCACCATCATGGCAGTGTGTTGCCACTGAACACTTCTTCTCACCCTGACTGGCTTCTTCACTCAAACGCTTCTTCACACTCAATCAATCGAGCATGAATAAAACATTACAGACAGACAGACAAATTAAGGCTTTTATAATATTAGAATGGAGTTTTACACAAGTCCTTGTTCCATCTAGTAATCAGCTCTGCTGCTCCTGCCTCTCCCAGAGACCTGAGGCTGAGTACTGTGATACCTAAAAGCTTTTCTAAATCTAACCCAACCATGAAGTTGATTCAATAAAATATAAAAGCAACAAAAACTCGAATTCTGCATTTGTGTATCCACACTGAGCGAGCCATATAGACTGTATTCTAATATGCTGTGAAAGGCACCAGTAAAATATATACCATTCCTGGCTTAAAAGTGGTGTGGAAACTGTTTGAAAGTCCTGGCCTTAATGTTGCAATAACTACTTTCTACTTTATATATTGTATGAACTAAGTCTGTCTGAAAATCTGTTAATGTTGCAGGGTTTTTTTAAATTTTGTTTTTAAAAGTTTTGAAAAATTTTGAATTCTTAAGAAAGTGTTATGATTGTTAAAAAAACAAAAAAAACCAAAAGAAATACAGAGCTATAGCAGATTTTTAAAAAATTCCACAAGGTCTTCTTTGTCTAAATTAGTATTTTTGGAAGAAAAGAAACAATAAAATGGTAACATTTGGAAAACTTTCAACCAGCTCTAGAATCTTACAAATTAGAGTTGGAAACTATTCTATGTGGTTGTTTGGCCCTACCGGTACAGCACTGTCTATCACACTTGTCTACTGAAATGGGCCATCTGTCTCTTCCCTTAGAAGACTGTTTTACATATTTCACTGTAAAGAAGTAATATACAGCTGAATTACTTCCTTTCTTTATTCCATCTCAATAATACCTCAGCCATAAAAGCCCACTGAATCACCCTAAATAGTTCCTTTCTATGAGCTCTCATTACTTCTTTCAGATGTAGTATTTGTAGGTGCTATAACTTGCCCTTTGCCCTTGGTACAGCCTGATAGTTCCCAAACTTTTCTGTTAAATTATACCTTGGTCTACGTCAGGCTACTCCCGGAATGCCCTTTCCATCTAGCTAGGACCAAACAGACATTTCCCCTTCATTCAGCCATGGATGGTCAGTGTGGTTGTGACCTTTTGGTACCTGTTCACTACTGCCAGTTTCAGAACTCAGGAATTACTGAAATCACACATAGGAACCTATGACTAGAAGAGACTTCCAAGGCCACAGAGTCTAGCACCCTGCATTTGCAGTTAACCATTTGTTCAAAATGGTCCACAAGTTCACTCTAGTTTTTCTTGCACACCATAGGCACAAAGTACTTTATTAAAAACACAGACAACATGCTGCATGGGAAAAAGGATACCACCTTGTAACAATGAATGGCCACTGCAGTCTTCTAAAGGTTAAAATAGAGTCATAGAATTATAGAAAATTAGGGTTGGAAGGGACCTCAGGAGGCCATCCAATCCAACCCCCTGCTTAAAGCAGGGTCATCCCCAACTATAACATCTAAGCCAAGGCTTTGTCTAGCCAGGCTTTAAAAACCTCCAAGGATGAAGATTCTACCATCTTTGTGGGTAACCTGTTCCAGTGTTTCTCTAGGCTCCTTGGGAGAAAGTTCTTCCTAATATCTAATCTAAATTTCCCTTGCTGTAACTTGAGACCATTGCTCCTTGTTATCTGCCACCACTGAGAACAGTTTCTCTCCATCCTCTTTGGAATCACCTTCAGGTAGTTGAAGGTTGTTATCAAATCCTCCCTCCCCCTCCTTCTTCAGACTAAATAAGCCCAGTTCCCTCAGCCTCTCCTCAGAAGTCATGTACCCCAGCCCCCTAGCCATTATGCTACAATTGATCCTAGGGGAGCATTATTCTATTTAAAAAAAGACAAAACTAACAACAACAAAGCTTGCCAATGCTCCTTGTCCATCCATTCCAGGAAAAATTCTTCCTTAGTTCCAAATCTAGCAATTAGACCATGCATGCACGAGCTAAACCCAGCAGGTAGAAACTACTGAGGTGCCTAAGTATCTCTCTTACCCTTTCATCATCAATCGTTCCTGGTTGATATGAAACCCTATTGTGACCCATGAAGGCCCATCCGAGCCTAATGACCTATTTGGCTAGTATAGCTAAGGCACATATGAGAGTTGCCAAAATTATATCTTGACACCTTTGATCAGTACTTTTTCATCTGGGTAAAATGGGGACAGCAGCCTTTGGAAAGAGTCCAGACCCAGGGCTTGAACTCATGCTGCCAGAGAAATTGCTCTTGTCATCACACCCCTAACTCTGATATGCAGAGCCTTAAAAACTAGAGTTATTGTATGGATTTATGATTGCTTCAACCTTAAGGTTTGGAGCATTCTATGTGGCAGAGTTTAAGTCTTATCAGTTGATTAGAAGTTGACATTGGCCACATCTACATGGGATGCCAACTGTGCAATCATTCCTGCACATTCATTTAGTACTTGTATAAACAAGTACTTCATTTAGTATAAACAAGTACTAAATGACTGCACAGTAACCCACGTTACTACACAGTAGCACCGACAAATGGCTTTTTTCTGACACTACTGCACAGTAGCCCCAAGACTACAGTACAGTAGCACTGCGTCATGGGTTCTGATACGTGACACTACCATGTAGTAGATTTCATAGATTTCATAGACATTAGGGCTGGAAGGGACCTCGGAAGATCATCAAGTCCAGCCCCCTTCCCCAGGGGCAGGAAGTCAGCAGGGGTCATAGGATCCCAGAAAGATAAACATCCTAATTTCTCTTGAAGGTGTTCAAAGTAGGTGCTTGCACCACCCCCGGCAGCAGGCTATGCCAGACCTTGGGGGCTCGGACTGTAAAGAAGTTTTTTCTTATGTCCCACCTGAAATGGTCCTGAAGAGTTTGTGACCATATGACCTTGTCATCCCCTGGGGCACTCTGGTGAACAGATGTACCCCCAGATCCTGGTGAGCACCCTGATAAACTTATAGGTGGCCACCAGATCATCCCTGAGCCTGTGCTTTTCCAGGCTGAAGAGTCCCATAGCTCTCAGCCTCTCATCATAAGGTCTGTTTTCCTGACCTCTGATCATGCATGTGGCTCTCCTCTGTACTCTCTCAAGCTTCTCCACATCCTTTTTGAATGGTGGAGCCCAAAACTGGACGCAATACTCCAGCTGTGACCTCACCATGGCCAAGTACAATGGGAGTATGACGTCCTGGGATTTGCTTGAGAAGCATCTATGGATGCAAGCTAGCATTTTGCTCGCTTTACTAGCCGCAGCATCATATTGAAGGCTCATATTCATCTTGTGGTCAATCATGACCCGCAAGTCCCTTTCCTCCATAGTGCTAGCCAGTGTAGCACTGCGAAACCTATAAGCATGCTGCAGGTTTTTCTTCCCAAGGTGGAGACCTTTGCATTTTTCGGTGTTAAACACCATCAGATTATCATCCGCCCATTTCCTGAGCCTGTCAAGGTCAGCCTGGATCGCCCTCTTGTCCTCAGGTGTGGATGCTTTACCCCAGAGTTTGGAGTCATTGGCAAACTTGGCCAGTCCGCTTCTGATACCAAAGTCTACATAATTAATGAAGATATTGAACAGCACTGGCCCAAGGACAGAGCCTTGAGGGGCCCCACTGGTCACAGTGCACCATGACAATTGACTTTTGTCAACCACCATCTTCTGGGTCTGACCATGGAGCCAATTCCCCAGCCAGCAGATCGTGGTGAAGCCGAGGCCGCAGTTGGCCAGTTTTGCTAAGAGGTGATCATGGGATACCAGATCTAAGGCTTTTTTAAAGTCAAGATATATGACATCAATCTCTTCTCCCTTGTCCAGGTGATACGTAACTTGGTTGTAAAAGGAAATAAGATTGGTCAAGCAAGACCCACCTGCAACAAACCCATGCTGGCTATCCCTCAGTATGCTGTCATTGGCCAGTCTGTTAAGAATGGCCTGTTTGATAACCTTTTCTAAGACCTTCTCTGGAACAGAGGTCAGGCTGATGGGCCTGTAGTTTGCCAGATCCACAGTCCTCCCCTTCCTGAAGATAGGCACCACACTGGCCTTCTTCCAATCTTTGGGCACTACACCAGAGCGCCAGGAGTTCTCGAAGATCCGTGCCAGAGGCTGAGCTATGATGCTTGCCAGGTTCTTGAGTACCCTGAGGTGTAAACTGTCAGGGCCAGCTGACTTGAAGATATCCAGCCTCTCAAGGTGTTCCTTCACAAGGTCAGCATTGATGGAGGGTAAGGAATCACCCTCACCCAGGTGTTCCTGTCCTGTAATGGGCAGGGGCGCCCCTTGGGACTGGTGAAAAATCGTAGTCTCAAGCTACTGCACAGTCAGCATCTTGTGCAGACGTGGCCACTCAGAATGAAGTGGGGCTGTCTGTATCTCGAAAACAAGGAACCTCTGCATTACTCCAACTTGACTGTTTTGTTTTTGTTCTGTTCTAACTAAAGTCTTAGTGAATACACTGAAAGGCATGTTTGTCTGATTAGATTTTTCCAGGCCAAATATCAGTATGAGGACTGTTCTTATGGCAACGTAATATAGCAAATAACCCTTAAATTCACTTACTTTTTGTTCTGCTTTCTTTTTGGTTTCTGCATCCATCCAGCTAAGTTCATCTAATGTTCTTATAAAAACCTCACGGATATCAGCAATCATATTTTCAACCTTGGAAAAAGCACCAAAATATATAGTAAGACAACATAAAATGACCTAAACACTTTTCCATAGGTCAATCTGGTCACTACAGAGTTTGTCTTGTTACTTTAAACTATCACTCAAGATTGGCCCTAACCTGACTCCTGTCCTCCTGTCCTAGCTCAAATTAAGTAGTGTTTTATCCAGAACTAACTGGCCTGTTGTTGAGGTTGGAAGTATAAGAAGGGCAAATGCTTGAATAACTGCTGACTTTGGAGCTAGTAATGCAGTAGGAACTGCGGCAGTTCAAACTACAATAACTTAACAGACAATAACCCAATCACTCAGTACTGCTAATCAAATCACCCCTGGGCATATCTGCACTGCAGAGAAAGTTGTGTTCTTAATTTGAACTAATGGTAAAAGAGTAGTGAAGATACCGGTTACCACTTGGAGATAACAGCTATTGGGATGCTATGACTTGAATTTGAGTTGCTAATCCAAGTTAAAAGTTGAATTATAGTGTTTACCCTGTTCTTTTAACCTAAGCAAAGGATACTTTTCAAAACATATCAGTATAACATACTCTTGATGTAGCTTAAGGATTGTTTTCCAGTGTGGTCATTCTCACTCAAGACTAGTTCAAGAGGAGTATCACAAGAATACTCCCTTGATTTTCCTGTAGTAGCATAGGCAAGCTCTAAATAGTTGTTGTTCTTGTTGTTGCTCAATAAAATATTAATTGAGCACCAAAATATAATCTTCAGGTCACCTTTGTCCACCAGTAGCAAGGACCCCAAGTAGAAGAAATTAATCAAAATAATTATCTTTACTGTTTAAAGATCTATATATTTAAGTGGCAATTATTTACTGAAGCAAAGTTCAGTTGGGAAGATGAAGTCAATAAACATAAATAATAGATAAGGGAATTCATGTCTATACGATAGCCCCTGTAATGATAAGTGAAAGAAAAAAACACATGTATTTTCAGAGCACCAGAAGTAATAAGAACAGCATTTTAAATAAGCAAAATCACTCCATTTTTACTGTAAAAATATACCTGATAACATAATTTAATATAAAAATTTGATCAGTTGACTGAAGTTAAACTGATGCAAAACAATTACTTTCAGCCAAGGCAATATGATTCATTGCCTCTCTCTGTAATCTCTATTTTAAAACTTCAGATGTAATCTCCAATGGCTTCTTCTCTTCAGTGACATCCTCTCTTACTATTATTTGCTAATGGCTTGATGTACAGGCCTGCAAGAGGTATATAATCGTGTCATCACCTCATCACTAGCTACTGACATTGGTGCTTTCCAACATAATGCTGAATAGTATTTTCTTTCCTATTCTTAAGTGAAGTTTAAAAAAGCATGATCTGGGATTCTTTGCAATTCATATTTCTTTGTATACTGGAACTTCAGAAGAATTACAGCATTATAATGTACTGTACTTTGTAGTAATTCAAAAGTATTCATTTATGCTATCAAGATGGTATCTCTTTGTCTGAACTATCCCTTAGTTAGTGTAGAGAATGGAACAAAGCTAATTTCCAGAGACAAATTGTGATGCCGGATGCCTTAATGGTACCCTTCACTTCATTGTCAATCTGAGCACCCTGTAAGCATCTCAAACCAGAATTTGCTTTAAAATTAGGCATCCGAGCTCATACCAAAATTAAATCACCAATAATTGGGTTTCTACAACTGTAAAATAAAGTCAATATTTACTAAATCATCATCTTGTAAACTTAACTCCTTAGATGGCATATAAAAAAATTGAGTTAAAAACATTACCACATGTTTACTCTCTCCAGCAAATGCTTCCTGTACATATAATCGTCCCGCAGCGTTTTCCATATTACTATTGACATAGTTTGCACAGCGACGCCAAACAGCAGTTTCTGATGTTGTGCCATACAGTGCCTGTTAAATATAAGATAAAGAAATGACATCTGAGTAAACATAAGGAAGAGGAGGAGAAGGGTGGCTGATTTCCAGACTGTGAATTTTAGAGGCAGCAACTCTAGACTCAGTGTGTGCATTTAATTCTCACTGGTCTAAATAGGAGTTAGGTGTATTCACTATATAAACTGAACATCCATCACAGGCTGAGCAAATGTATGAGCGCCATTAACAACATACTACATACTTCCAAGATGTGGAAAGGGCT